TGTGGGCTCTATTTTAGGAATATTTTTCTTTGTTATATTTTCATAGCTCTATGTGTTTTTGGGAGGAGATTTCCACTGCTCTGTTCACGCCGCCATCTTGGCTCCGCCTCTGCTACTATGTAATTTTTGTTTGAAAGATTTTATTGTACTGAAAATACATTTTTATGTTAAAAAATGATATTCAATCCAGTATAACTACATTTATTAATTACCACATTTGTTTACATATAATGACATCCAAGAAAAGAATGCACATATGTACATAAATGATGGTTTAAGTGTCTAGTTTTGGGAGACTGGTAAATTACTAATACAGAAGTAGCATAGAGCAATATACATACTGCACCTGCTACTGAACTTGAATGATATTTAGTAACACTGCATTTCCTCCACTGCAGTTGAAGAAATTAACATGAAATCAGAGACTACTGTAAGAAAGAGGAGGATAGCTAAACCATACCTTAAAATCTCAAAAAAAAAAGTTACCAAAAAAAAGCCTAAGTTAAGCTATTAAGTGTATATTCATCAGCACAGCTAAAGTAGCCTTCATATTGACTTGCAGTATCTGTTTTTTTTAAATTGTGTAGCAGTGAAATTCTTGAGGCTCAACTCTCTGTTAAGGAGCTGCAAGTCATCTTTACTGTTGCATGCCTGCTCAAATTGCCTGCTGCATTACTTTCTCCCATGTCCCTTGTTCTCCTAACAAAATTTGCTTAATAATCTGGATTGCACTTATGAGGGTGTGTTCAATTTGTGGTGGTCATTATGGTTTGTGTGGTATAATTCCACTTAAAAGAAAACAAACCTTGATTAAGACTCACTTTCATGAATCATTACCACACTTGCTTGATCTAATAAACAGATTTCTTTTTTTTAAATGCTTAAATATGCTTATCTATACCTTTGTACCTTTATAGAAAGCTGTTATACCTTTGTCATCTGTTGCATTATGTATTTTTAGTACACTAGGGTTTATACACATTCCCTGTGAAACCTTAATCTCTTTGACTGCCATCCCCTTTGTAACTCCCCTAAATTGTGGTAGAGTAGGCAATGCTGTGTTGGTAAACCAGCTCTCAAAAAGAAAAAGGCTCTGATTTAAAGTGATTGCCAATTTCTGTGGTGTAAATACCCCCAATTTTAAATTTCTAAGGTGTGACATCCAGCTCACAAAATTTTTGATTATTTAACAATAGACTCTGGTGAACTGACAAACCATGTAGGTAAGTAATATGATCATTTTTAATTCCTTGAAGGTGCTAGTTTTGCAACTGATGTAGAACAGCATTTTTCACTAACTGCTCATTCACTCATACCACCACAAAGTTCCTCCAGCTGCAGGAATAGACAATCATAACATATTTCAGTGTGGAATCAATGATGGATGAAAATTGTACCCTCTGTGCATCCCTGCAGAGCTAAAGCTAAATAAACCAATTTGCTGAATTACTTAGAGCCACGAATTTACTGCATCACAAACAGATATTTCCCACTTGTCAGAAAATGTAATAGAGCCAAGACACCAACTGCTGTTTGTTTTAGCCACCAGTGCAGACTAAATGGAATGGACATTCAATAAGCTGTATTAAACTGAAGGGTGCATTTTCAAAATAGTGAAGGGATGATTAAGGAGGCAACATTAATGTCAGAGGGAATTATGGGTATGAACACTTTCTGTTACTGTATAAACCTAGCCCTGCTATAAATGTTCAGTGGCATAAATAATGACCACACAGATGTATTTTGCTCTTGGAAGTTCAAACACTGAAAGGCAACTGACATTTTCAATGTTAACACTTTGGAGGGCAACATTTTTCCTGATTTACAAGGATGTCTATTATTTCAACACAGACTGATGAGAAAAAAAAAAACAGAAGAAAAATAAAAGTTAAAAGACCTGAAACACAATGGTAAAAAAAACCTTTTTAAAAAACATTGATTATAGTGAAAATAAAAATCCAGGCCTCTTCATTGTACTCAAATGAAATGGAAGGTGGAGGAAAGGAACAGTTAAAATTCTCTCCCCAAATCATGACTTTAAATTTCCTGGGTCCCGGGGACATGACTGGAGGCTGAATGCTAGCTCCTCTGGTGTTTTTCTTTCTTCTCTCTTTCCTGCCCCCACCTTCAATGGCACTAGAGCTTGAAACTGGGCACTCACCACTACGACTTCCTTCTCTATCTACCTCTGGGTTTCCTAAGGAGTCATGAAAAGTACTACAAGGACATCAGAAGGGAAGCTGGTACAGTCTGGGGATGATTTCAAGGTTCATGACTGCTGATTTTTGATCAAATGTTGACGGGGAGATTTGGCATCACCCACACATCTCCCTTCCTAGGATCTGAGCCACCACGGACCATGGTGAGGAGGAGCAGGCAGCACCATGCAACTCTCACTCTGTCTCACTTGTGATTCTTCTCTTTCTGTTACCTGCATGCCTGTGCTGATCCTACTGCTCACATCTATCCTTTCCCTACCTTTCAGCTTTCTTCCCCCTTTTGCAGTGCTGTGTTGTGAGAGCAGATGTACTGAAGAAAGTTTTCCTGTGATGACTGATTCCAATGATAGTATAAGACCCATCAAGTTATTATGTTTGCACAGTTCTCAGTATCTAAGTCAAAAGTCATGTTTATCATTAAATAAAAATGAAAACAAGGGTCACAGTTTGGATCCTGCAGAAGGCAGTCTCTGGGTCAGAGATCAATGCTCAGGGAGTGCCCTTGAGAACACAGCAGGATGTGACAGGAGTTGAGCTGAGGCAAGCTGGAAGGCTTCAGCTGCAGGGAGTTCCAGAGCTGGAATGGCTCACCAGAATCGTCCCAGTTTGGGTGGAAATTGTTGGTCCTTTATATCTCTACCTCCATCCGTCATTATATGGGAGCCTTCCTCAGAAGGACATGACTTTGTTAGGTGGCTCCTTATAGCTGAGATGTTCCCTGCAGGGACTGAAAGCTGGAAGCTGTTCCACTGAAACATCCACAGCAACTGGGGTAGTTAAGTCCTTTCCTGGAAGAGGGACTGAGCACCACATCTCCATGTCCACCTGCACCAATCTCCTTACCCTGGAAAACATCTGTCATTCACAATTCATACATTCTTTATAACAGCAAAGAGGCTATCTAGTATTATGTTAAAAACTATTTGTGAATTCAACAGATGGTGCTGCTACAATTAGATATCCATAGGCAATAAACACCCTTGACCAAAATCTCTCACTTTATACAAATATTAACTCACAATGGATCATAGACTTAAATGTAACATGTAAAACCATGTAACTTTTAGAAAAAGACAAAGGAGGAAATGTTTGGGACCTCAGGTCAGGCAAAGAGTTCTTAGACAACATCAAAATAATAAGCCATTAAAAAAATCAATACACTGGACTTTATTAAATTAAAAACTTTGTTCTGCAAAAACTCATGTGAAGAGGATAAGACAAGCTGCAGATGGAGAAAATATTTGCAAACCACATATCTGACAAAGGACTAATATTTAGGTAACATAAAAAGTTCTCAAAATCAAAAGTTAGAAAATGGTCAAAAGATATGAAAAGACATTTCACTGAAAAGGATATACAGAGAGCAAATAAGCACATGAAGGGATGCTCAACATCATTAGTCATCAGAGAAATGCAAATCAAACCACAATAGTACATCACTATACACCTATCCAAATAACTAAAACAAAAAAATAGAAACATCACCAAATGCTGGCGAAGATGTGGAGAAACCAGATCAATTACACTTTGCTGGTGAGAAGAAAAACTGGTACAGCCATTCTGGAAAACTGCCTGGCAATTTCTTTAAAAACTAAATATGCAACTACCATGTGACTCAGCAATTGCACTGCTTGTCATTTATTTCAGAAAACTTAAAACTTAGATTCACACAAAAACCTGTACATGAATGTTTATGGCAGCTTTATTTGTAACATCCCTAACCTGACAGCAACCTAGGTGTCATTCGACAGTTGAATGGTTACACAAACTGTGGTACATCCAACCATGGGTATTACTCAGCTGTAAAAAGAAATGAACTATTGATAAATACCATAAGAACTCTCCAGGGAATTATGCTCAGAGAAAAAAGCCATTTTGTATGATTCCATTTATATAATTTCCTTAAAATGACAAAATTTGGAGCAGATTAGTGCTTGCCAGATGTTATGGATGGAGGAGTTATATGTCCCAGAGAAAAGTGGCTGTGGCTGTAAAAGGGCAACACCAGGGACTCTTTTGGTGACAGAAATATTCTGTATCTTTATTACATCAATGTTAGTATTCTGGTTGTGACCCTGCACTGTAATTTTGCATAGTGTTACTGCATGTTACTAACTGGTAAAGGATACCTGGGATTGCTCCTGATTATTCTTAGAACTGCATGTGGATCTGCAATTAACTCAAAATAAAAAGTTAAAATTTTGTGAAAAGATTTCAAACTCAGTAAACCAACTACATAATTTACTGTATGAAATAGCAACCTTACACATTGGTGGGTTTACTATTTGAGTTACCACTATTTGATGTGATGGTGATTCAATTATCTATTGCTACATAACAATCTACCTCAGAATATAGTGGCTTAACCAATAACCACTTTATTTTTTTCACAATTCTGTGGGTCAGGAATTTTAGCTCATCTGGGCAGGTAATTTAATTCATGTGGTGTCAGTTGGTGTCATTCACTCAGCTGCATTCAGGTGTAGGGTGGGCTAGAAATTCTAAGGCTTCACTCCCAAGCCTGGTGCCTTGGTGCTCTCCACAGGACTGGCTGAGCTTCCTCACATCATGGTGGTCTCAGGAAAGTCGGACTTTGGTTATAATGACTGACTTCCAAGAGGAAGTATATGAATTGGTAAACACTGAAGCTCTAGATCTTTTAATTTCTAACCTTGGAAATTACATAGCTTCGCTTCTGTCACATTCTATTGGTCAAAGCAAATCACAGCTCAAACTGAAGAGGAGGGGGAAAAGACTCCAATTCTTAATATTAGAAGAGGCAAAGGGTTTGTGGCCACCTTAACATAGGGGGAAATTAATTAACTATTTGGAAAAATTCTCTCCTTTGAGGGTTTAAAAAAATTACATATTCAATTATAAAGATATTGAGCTGTTCAGGTTTTCTATTTTATCTAGTCAGTTTTGGCAAGTTATGGTCTCTAAACAGGTTGTCTATTTCATCTAAGTTGCCAAATTTATTGGCCTAAAGCCGTTTGTAATACTCATTATCATTACCATTGTAATGCTGGTATATCTATAGTGATACCCACTTTTCCAAACCTTATATTGTTCATTTGTGCTTCCTTTTCTTTTCCTTGATCAGTTAGCTTCGAGTTTATCAGTTTTATTCATCTCAACCAACTTTTGGCTTATTTCTCATGGATTTTGCTTTTTCTATGTATCAGTGTCTGGAAAGCTTTCCATATTAGTACATATAGACTTATTTTTATTAATTGATGCCATAGTATTTCATATTATGAAGGTACCAGAATTTATTTAGTTATGGACATTCTTACTAATTTTTCTTTTTTCCTATTAGAGTACTGAAGGAAATATCCTTTTATATGTCTTTAAGTACACAGGAGAAAGGCAAGACTCCCAGAAGTTAAGTTGCTGGACAAGATGGTATATTGCTTGTACATTTTTAAACACATCACTCCCTAACTTTTCCAAATGGCTGTATCAATTGGCAAATCCATCAACTGAGTGGAATCACTCTCTGTTGATCCAGGTTCTTGCCAATAGTTAGTATTATGAATATTTTTCATTTATGTTTGGTTTGAATTTGCATGCCTTTAATCACAGAAGAGTGTGAGCATCTTGTGGCTGTTTGTGGCTTGAGAGTTTTCTCTTCTGATTAGGATTCTTTTTATCTATTTTTTTGTTATTCAACTTTTTCTTAATATAGTGATGATATTAAACCTTGGTGTGTTCCATATTTTCACGTATTTTAAATTTTGATGTGGTTAAACTAGTCACTTTTTTCTTTTGTGGCTTAGCATTTCTATCTTGCCAAAGAAAGTCCTTTATCTGGTTCTGAAAGTTCAATTGACACTCATTGGCTAGTCATTCTCTTGACTCTGGATGGCAGCTTTTCCACTGAATTCTAGCTTCCAGCCCCTAGGGGACCATGCTCCTTTCCCCCCACCCCACCATTGTGAAACTCTCAATTCCTCACACTTTACTCCAGACTTTAACATCTGTCCCCTCATCAATCCTCCATCCCCACCCCCCATATACCTTGAAAACAACTTGGAACCACAGAACATCAGAAGGAATGTTGGGAGTCATCTGGTTTCAAACTCTAATTTTCATAGATGAGGAGTATAAGATACAGACTTTGCTGTCCAATATGGCAGCCATTAGCCACATGTGAGTTTTAAATTTAAGTTTTAAAATGAAAAACTTCTGTTATATTAGCTAAATTTCAAATGCTCTATAGTTATATATGGTTCCTATACTGCAAGTGGGGACTTAGAACATTTCCATTATTGCAAAAAGTTCTAGTGGACAAGCATGCTGTAGAGCTTCATTACCTAAAGGGTGGCAGCAGGAGCTCAGGCATCACTGGGAGAAGGTTAGAAACAGAATCTCAATGAATAGAGAATCAGGCCTCAAACTAGAACTACAGGGCTGGAATATGTGATTTAGCAAGATCCACAGGAAGTCTGCATGCAGATTACAGTTGGAGAAGCCCTAATCTAATCCAATTTTTCCCTCCAAGGTCATACAGCTGATTGGTGACCAGGCCCTTCTCTTTACCCAACTACCAATTTCCTGAAGTCCTTGCCACACTTGTCTTCTCACTTTGTTGAATTATAGCACTTTAAATGCATTTATAGAGCAGGCAGGCCATTGAAACCCTCAGAAAATCCTCCATGCTCTCACCTCATTCTGGTTTGAAGTATGTGCTTGAACAGACTGGTGATTAATTGACGGACTTATGATAAAATCTCAGCTCTGTGATGGCTGTGTTGTTGTTCAGCATTTCTCCTGTGGAATCACTATTGGGGAACTAGAAATTAAAGCCAACTTTGAAAGCAGTGAGGTGCTAGTCATCAGCCTGTCTAGTATGTAAGGCTGGAGGCACCAGAGGGAGGAGTGAGCACGTCGGACGGACGCCGGCCTGATGATGTGCCAAAATCCCCAGCTGTGCCCCCTCCCAACCTGGAAAAGTTGCCTTAGGCTAGCCAATCCTCGCGCCGCTATAAATCTATGCTCTATCCCCACCCCTACCTTCTTTAAAAACTCGCTCTCTGCCCTGCTGGGTGAGACTTCTCCAGCCTGTGACTAACCAGACCGGCGAACATCACCTACGATTGCGCCCTATTAAACTTTTGGCTTCTTTGTAGCCTCCTTGCCTGGTTATTTCGGCTCGATTTTACCTTACATAGTACCCCTGGTATGGTGATATAATCTCAGCCTTCAGTTCTCTGGACTCCACAGCCCTTGGGTAGAGCTTGCAGAGCAGTCATATTTGTCTTGCAAAATGTCACCACTGACATTTGGTCACTCAAAGTAATAGGTTAGCAGGTCCAAAAGGAAGTGCATTTGGAAATAGGGCACCAGATTGTCCTGGAACCCTGGGAAATCTGCTTTCAAGGCACCACTAAAATCCAAAAAGGGCAATGATGGAACAAAAGTCTGGCTCAAGCAGTAGTTGAGGCTGGTGTAGGTGGTGCCCTTGAGGAACAGTTGCAGTAACAGAGCATGGCCTCACTGTCCCCCAGTGAGATGCAATGTCCAAGGGCTCTAGGGTGTGCAGCATTTAGGATGGAGCTGCAGGGTTTCTTCAATGCTGGCAGCATCCTGGGGCTGGCTGGCTGGCTGGCTGATTCCAGCTTTGACTTCTTGCCATAATCAAGAATAGCTCCTCTGCCAGCAGCAGGGTGATGCATGGGCCAGAGCAACCTCCAGCTGTGGGGATGATCATTAAGTCATATAGGCCTAATCACTGCTCTGTCAGCTTCTGGAAAAACTGCAGCCTTGAATCAATGATCCGTCTCTCTTTCTCTCTCTCTTTTTTTTAAAACTGTGCAGCAGCCTTAGGCATCTATGAGAGCAGGTTCCAGGTCCACAAAGACCTGTGAGGGTACATGCATGCCAGTCCAACTTTCCAAAGGTCCCACAGGAGTTGTTGCCACATACTTGGGCTTTGTGACTGGACTCAGTACCACTGGGCTGGGACCGTACTCCAGACAGTACAGTCCCTCACAACCAGCCTGGCCCATGAAGAAACAGGTGCCCAATACAGATACGGTCTGAGAGGTGATTGTGCCTTCATAGTGACGAAGAAGTAGTCAGAAACTTCTCAAGTCCCTCCCCCTCTCCAGGATTGGTAGGAAGCCAAGGAAGCTAAGGAGACAAAGTTTCTGTTAAGGCTTCAAGAATATAAAGGAATCACAAGGTGATTGGGTGCTTGAGATTAAAACAATATAACAATGTATTCTCTGCCCCCACCCGGACTCAGTGGTATCAAACAGCTTGTTAATCATAGTCATGGAAGCTTTATAATAAGGTATCCGGGTAACCTTTACAGAAATAGATTAAAATATAACTAGCATCCTGAATACACCTATAGTGACCTAATAGCTCCTACTGCAACAGTTTCCAGGTGCCAACTCCCCCCTTAGCTTTGTAGTAAATGTATAAAAGGCATGGACCTGCTGTACTCAGGGCTCACTCAGCCTTTGGAAATCACTCTCCTCTGAGCCCGCTGGCGTAAAATAAATCTCTGTCTTCCAAGTGCCGCTTGGTTCTTCTATCAATGATGCAGTCCAGGTTTCCGGTTTTCTGTAACAAGAGAGGGTCAGTTTTTGCAGACATAGTATGAGTATCTGGAAACACCATGAATTCCTCAAAGCGTTTTTATATGTCCGAGTCTTCCTAAAGATATTTCTGATCTGGATCAAATACAACAAAAATATTTATTATTACTATGCTCAAAGGAGTATGAATGGCTTTTTCCCCCTACATCATAGAAGACACCATTTCTACCCTCAAGGAACTTCCAGTGTAGTTGGAAGGATATTTAATTATGTCCATTAAAAAGCTGTCACAATTATACAAGGCTGAGAATCTGAGTGCCAGATGGGTTATGGAGGCTCATGAACTGCAAGGAGCTACGAAATGCGTTTAAAATAAAGGGTAGTGTATTTAGCATAGCCTCCCTAAAGGTACTAGCTCTCTTTCAATCTATTGTTTCTCAGCTTTTAGGACAGAGTAGGCACATCATAGGCACACAGTAAATACGAATGAATGAATGGTAATTGTATAATTACACAATAACGGAAGTGTTACAATTACAAAAACAGGCAGTATCTGAGGGCTAGCAAAACTTGCAAAACAGGTCGAGATGTTAATTATTTGAATTAGTTCTTCCCTATCAAGAACTAATACTTCCACAGTGACACTTTACCCGTCTCCCGTGCATACTAAACGCAGGGTGAATGGGAGTTGCTGGTTTGGGCCACTACCGTAACCGCAGCGCATACAGCAGTGAATACTGATCGGCTGAAGGGTCCTGTGAGTCGCCGTCTCCCCTAGGATACCCACCTAAAGGGAAGGGCTGGCGGGAGGTCCTATATCACCTGCATCACAACATTTCCTTCGTCATTGCAGCACCTATCGGACATTCTCTTGTCTCTGCCAGGGCAAGGTTCCCAGCGTTCTACCAAGGTACCAGCTCAGTGCCCGGCACCTGACAGTCAACACCAGCGATGATGCATTAACACAGACATTGAAATTAGATATCACCTGACTCTACTGGTGAGTCTCAACAACCTCTCCAGGTTGGCTGCCCCGCCCAGCGCCCAACCCCGAGCGATTCCGGTTGGATGACGCATGCGTGGGTGGGTGGGGCAATGACCCGGCACGCGCAGGCGCGCATTCGCACCGCCCGGTCGTGCGACTGGGCGGGCAACGCATGCGCGGGCGGCGGCAGCCTTAAGGGCGGCGGCGGCTGGGGTGGTGCAGTCGGCCTGTTAGCCGGCTTAGAGGCAGGGCCGGTATCTCCCGCGGCGGCGTCGGTCATGGCCGCGGAGGAGGAGGAGGTGGACTCGGCGGACACCTGCGAGAGGTGAGTCCGGCTCGGTCTGCGTGGGGATCCGGCGCGCGCCCCCCACGAAGGCCAGAGCCGGCCCGGCGGGCAGGAGGGCGGCGCCGAGGACCCGTAACCAGCCCAGCCGGTCCCTCGCCCAGCCCCGGCCGGAGTCCGCGCGGCGCCCAGGGAAGGAGCCCCGGGCCCGCTCTGCCACGGGCGGGCACCGGCGGTGGAGGGAGCCTGAGTCTGACTTCCGCGCGGAGGGGCGGCCGCATTGCTGTGTAAGCTGGTCCGCGAGGCTGGTGGAGAGGGTGGCCGGGCCCCCAGACGGGCCTCGTCGCCAGCCAAGGGTGTCCTTCGGGACGTCGGCGGCCTCGGACCCTCGCCCTGCCCCCGCGCCCCGGGCGTTGACCGCCGTACCAGCACCAGCCTCCAGGCAGGGGAAACGGCCAAGTCGCCGACCCCTTCCGACCGCTTCTGCTTTCAGGTCCGCGCTGTGCACTGTGCAGCCTGGGACCAGAACGAAAGTGCCGCCTGGGCCAAGCCTCTCCACAGCCCGGAGGAAGGGGCGGCGCTGCCTCGAGGCCGTCTGAGACCGAGAGTCCAAATTCACCCCCAGAAGACGTGGGAGAGAGGGGGTGTCGGGGGCAGGAGGAGCCCAGCGTGAGGGAGACGGGGTTGGCGGAGCGGATGTAAGGCTTTGGGTCCCAGAAAAAGTGTAATTTCAGATACTTATGGCAAGTTAACACTATATGGATAGCAAGTTCAGAATTAATGATCTTTCAAAAGGAGAGCTTCCTTTGCTTTCAAGTGTTCTGGTGTTACTGGAGAAGTGTATGTATGTTTATGCTTCAGAAACTATGGAAGTTGAGACTTCTTGATATACAAATATACACCAAGTTTAAATTATTTTCTATCTGTAACTACATGAACTTGTCAGTAGACAGATAGTAGAAAAATGAAATTGCCATAAACATTATTGCCTTATTTTTCAAGGCTAGTCATTTATATTGGAAAGTAAATAAGTTCTCTGCTTCCTTATGTATATTTAGTATTTGATAACTGTCCTACTTAAGATGTCTGGAGAAATTTGCATATGAAACAGCCTAAAGGAAAGAAGATAATAGGGAGTACCATGAAGAACAGCGTATTTGGAAAGATGTCGGGGTAAAAGTTGCAAAATATTAGAAACCAGGTTCTTCTACTGAATTTTGTTTGTGACAATAATGGGTCCATTGTTTTGCTGATGAACTTCCTTGTTGAGGTGAGATGCTCAGTGTCACGTGGACACAAATAGGAATCTGACTGGTTAGCTTTTACCCATTTAGTTTGTGGCAACATGTTTGGCTCTTTCTGACACTGTTTTTAGGTGAACTCTTTGGTCTACATGTTGTTTTGGGGCTTGGGAGTCCAGGGCACAGTGGCAAAAGGAATTTGTGGCTTTAGATGATAGCTGGAGGTCACTGGGGGCAGACTAAAAAATCCTTAGCAGCTGACCAGCCATAGTCCCATGAGAAGAACAGCGTATTTGGAAAGATGTCGGGGTAAAAGTTGCAAAATATTAGAAACCAGGTTCTTCTACTGAATTTTGTTTGTGACAATAATGGGTCCATTGTTTTGCTGATGAACTTCCTTGTTGAGGTGAGATGCTCAGTGTCACGTGGACACAAATAGGAATCTGACTGGTTAGCTTTTACCCATTTAGTTTGTGGCAACATGTTTGGCTCTTTCTGACACTGTTTTTAGGTGAACTCTTTGGTCTACATGTTGTTTTGGGGCTTGGGAGTCCAGGGCACAGTGGCAAAAGGAATTTGTGGCTTTAGATGATAGCTGGAGGTCACTGGGGGCAGACTAAAAAATCCTTAGCAGCTGACCAGCCATAGTCCCATGACAGAGGTAGGCCTCCTTGGTACTCTTGGCAGTACACTTGAGCAATGTCCAGTGTCTACATTAGTGTGGCCTTCAGAACTGTACCAAGCAGGTGAACAAGCATGTGTTTCTGTTGGGTGTTGCCTAAATGTGCTCATAGTAAACCTGAGGTCAACCCTGTGGTTTGGTATTACTGTTCCCATGTTTCAGTTGAAACTGCAACTGGAAGGGCTTCGAACACCCCCCTAACAAGTAGCAGGGTTGGATTGGAGCCCCCTCAAATGTCTGGGATTAATCTAAGGCTCTTTCCCTATCTCAGCTACCTCTCACTGGGATTGAGATGATGCATGTGGGATGTTTCATTCTTGTTTCTTTTGCTTACTCTACTGACACTTTATTTTACCATTGCCTTTACACAGAGCTCACTTTTTAAAAAAATATGGTAAAACAGTGTAACTATTCTAAGATCCAAGTGGATTGTGAGAAAACTGAAGTCTTGACACAAGTTCCCTATCCTTAAAACATTTCAGGTTTGGATGGGGAGATGACATTAACAAAGGAAACAATTATAAACTGGTCCTAGGAGGGCTTTTGGAGGCCTAGTGATTCTTGTGTTTTCTTTTGTGACTCTTTTAGTGAAGATAGGCATGCCTGGAGGCAATTTGGCTTTCAACCCTTTTCAGTTGCAATACAGTTGAGAAAGCTAAATGTGACAAGAGTGGGTTACTGTGTGAATTGCTACAAGGTTGTTGCAGAGAATAATTAAGTATCAGTTCCAAGAAAAGTTCCAAGGAGTACTGTGTGAATTGCTGCAAGGTTGTCTCAGAGAATGATTAAGTATCAGTTCCAAGGAAAGCTGTCATAGAATTGTTCAGTTGCAGAGTAGACGGTAAAATAATAGGTGGTTTGCAGTGTTGTACTGGAGTTAGCTTGTACTGGCAGCCATTACTAAATTTTTCAGAAATTTTGCCAACCATTGGCAACATGGTAGTATTTACACTATGGAAATCAAGCTATAAAGAAGGGGCTTATTTTTTTTTCTCCCTTTCCTGTTCCAGTCCCCTACTGGATTTACATTAGAATTTGTCTGTAGTTCTTTGCTTTGGAGAGAGGAGAGGTGGATATTTCTCTTTCAAAAAACTGCTAAGATCAATGACTCCTCCCTATCACCATCTTCCCTTTCCAACCCCCTGCCACTTGAAAAACCACAAAACTCTTCAGTGTTACATCCCCGTAGGCTTTTATTTCTCTCAGTACATATCTTTCTCGGCTCCACTTCAGTGTTTGATACTGTAAAGTTAGCTGCACCTTTTTTAAAACTCTTATCAGACATTCTAGATCTTAGGATATTTTGCTTGTCTTCCCTCAGACCATTCCCTAAATGTGGTTATTCTCCAAGATTCTATCTTCATCTTTGTTTTCATTTTTTGCCTTGTTTACTCACACTCCTTCAACTGTCTTGTCTGTGGAGAGGACTGAAATCTCATCCTCATTTTGGAGCTTCTTGAGGACTAGTGATGTTTGTAATTGTGTGCCAAACGTTTGCACCAGATTCTTCAGATGTAACATCCAAGCCAGGGTCTTATGTGCACCTTCCTTCCCCTGAACTCAATACAAAAAGCTCAGTTCTTCCTCTGGACTTCCCTATTTTTATTAGAGCACTTTATATTCTTCTGGTCATCCAGATTCAGAACAGTGGCTTGATCTTTCAGTTCTCTTCTCCCCTCTTCATTGCCCTGAATACCAAATCTGTTACCAACTCCAGTAGATTTTAGGAACATCTACTTTCCCACTGTCACCTGGTTCAGACCCTCCTTATGCCCTTTTCCGGATTATTATAGGCTTTAGTAACACATTCCGTTTCTATGCTCTCATCATTGCTTATTTCATTAATTATGTTTATATCTCCAAAAGGTGTGGCTTTTTGTTTGTAGCACAGCCACACACAGTGGCCTTATTATATGTCCTTAGCCTGACTTCAAAGCCCTTTGCAAGGCAGTGTGGCTCCTATCTATCTTTGGAGTCTTATTTCCACCCCTGTGCACTGGGTTCTGGCCAAGCTATATCTCTCATTGTTTTCTAAACACCTTACTTGCTCATCATCTCCATTTCCTATAGCTTGGTTCACATTGTTTACTCTGACCCAAAACAGATTGTGATCTCCCTTTTCTAAAGGTCTACAGTATTTTCCTAAACTTTCTTTTGGCACTTACACCATGTTTTGTATAGTTCTTTGTGTATTTGTTTTATCAGTTCCTTGAGGACAAAGCTTTTATCTTACTCAAATGCCTGGTAGAGACTAAAGGGGCCTTATAAATAGTAACTTCAATATATGTTTATTGAATTAAACACTTTAATATTGTATATTTATCCTGACACAAACATTAAGATCAAAACCTCATAGCTGATTATTTTGCAGCTGTGTGACCTAAGTATTTTCATGTTAAGATAAGGAACATCAAAAGATGTTTCTTTAATCCTTTGAAAAATGAAAGTTTGAATTAGACTAGGACAACAGTTTGAATCTTGAACTTAAATTACATTGGGTAGGGAGTTACGTTTCTATTTCTTGACCTTGGATGAATCAACCATGCTTCGCTGTTTTGCCTGTTCTCCAAAATGCCAATCATAAATAGATCAGCAAATGCAGATTCAGTCCTGTGATAAAGAACTTAACAAAAGATTGTAAAGTCCTGGGGATCCCAGAAACAACACTGGATAATACGTTAAAGAATTACAGTCTCTGAGCTATTCCCTGAAGATTTTATTTATATTATTTGTAATAGAAGCAGTATATTGTTAGGTTTTTAATCTAACCTCATGCATGGTTCTGTAATTCCCCACTGTTGATTATGAATCATAAAATATTATGTGTAAAGATGATTTTATTAAAAATTACTAAGTTTGAGACCTGGGATTTTCTTCTTTTTCTTTTATCTAGTGGATGAACTTACTTTAGAACTAACATGAAGTGTCACTTGGATATGTTAAGAAATGTAAATGTAGAAGTACACATGTAGCTTTCTTTAAGTATGTTTGATGCTGTGTCTGATTTCGGAGTAGTTTGTTTACTGTGTGAAAGAAAGTAGGAAACAAATGGGGCAACAATATTACTAGGACATGGCTATGTCTAGAACACTGATTCTCCATCTCTGGGTGTTTAAAAC